CTTTAAACTACAGAATCGCGATCCCTCGCATGCAGGTTTTCTGGAGGGGGTGTTAGTTTAGTCCTTCAACTTATATGCCCTTTTGTGCAGAGGTTCCTCCCTTTTCATTAAAAAAGCCTGCGGTGTGGTAAGGCTGAATTGGAGGTGACATTAGGGAGAGGCGTATGGGTAGCGGACCAGCAAAAAAATAGCGTTCTAGTTCTAGACTTTTGGAAAGGGTTTGGGATGAACTAGATGTAATGAATTTTCATAAGCGTTGTTGATAAAATGTGTAGAATCTAGATGAATAAAAAAAAAGACTGACCAGCGGTTTAAGACGGCTACCAGCTGCTCCTATTGACAGCTCTAAAATTAAATCAATATACAATTAAGTGTCAACATGAACCCTGAATTGCTTTCGTTTTGCTTTACATTGCTTTGAGCTTGGTCCAGGAAACTTCCGCCACTTTCTCAATAAATCAAATGTAAAACTGAAACCAATCACCATTTGCTCACCCGTGTTTTCCTGCGCTTTAGGCCGTTTGATTATCTTAAATACAAGTTCTCATTGGTTCTTCAAGGTGTTTTCCTTTTTTCCAATTGGCTATTGTGATTACTTTAGTTTTACGACACTTAATCGATAAACGCTCTAGTGTAGAGTTTGCACCATTTTTATTTGAACTGAAAATGTACGCAGTATTTACAAAAATTTGTTTTAATTTGACAGTCCATGCCAAAGGTGTACTGAAACGGACCCGGATTTTAATATTTATCGGAGTACCAAAAAACTCACACAAACAGTGAATGAAACTTCTCCTAATCAATGGCAAGACACCAGAATCCCTCCGGACGCTTCCTATATCAAACTCAACAATTACTGGAGACTATGAACTTTGGGAGTTTAGGATTCGCGCTGGGAACAATTTGGGGCCAGGACCCTTCATTGGCATCGAACTGTCCCGTTCTGGCCAAGATCCACCTCAAGGCCAACCGAAAGATCTGAAGGTGGGGAATATTCAAGCACGCAGTGTGGAGCTTTCATGGCAGCCTGTTGCCGCCCCGCCAACGGAAGTGTCGATGGATATAGGGTAAGGACTTAACTTTACTAAGCCTGGTCCAGGCATTCAGTTTGTATAACGAAACGCATTAGTAAACGGCACGATTGAACGATTGAAGCAGAGAAGTGAAAAAGGGGAGAAAAGTCTGGGTCGGGTTTCGTCACGACTCGTATCTAATTTGTTTGCGCGCCGTTCTCTATTTCGCGCTGGTTTCCCAACTGAAAGCCGGGAAGAAGCTACCTTACAAATGATCAACTAACATTTCTTTACGCGACCGTCGAAACGATCCCATTAATTTCTGTGGAAAAAGTAGAACAAATTTGAAAAATTCAAATACAAACTCACATTTTGTTATATAGATTTACTGTATTGTTTAAACGCAACTTGATAGTGTCGACTTGAAATTCCATCCTCGGTTGTTAAGAAAATCGAGAATCGAAGATTGCGTGTAGCGAGGTTCGATTTTCTTGGCTTTGAAAAAAGTAAATCGTGCGGCAAAATCTTTGTATCTTGATTCGATATAGCTACAAACATCTGTACACTCTACTTATGCCTCGATGATCATGGCCTCGAAGAGGAAGAATCTAGGATCGAGTTTTGAGTCTCGAGTCTTAGACCTCGAGAAACTTCTAATTAACATCTGAACGGCACTGTAGCTCCTCTGATAATCTGTGAAAGTTTCTTATCTTTTTTTGTGTTCAAAATTTGCAGATTTTTTACTGAGGAATAAGCCGTCTGGCGAATTCAAGGAGAAGAAGACGGCCATTCCGAGGTATGCGAACTCTACTTTTTTAAAGGGGCGAAATACCTCTACAACGACAGTCTTCGAACTTAAACCTTACACCTCTTACACAATAGCAATAAAGGCCTACAACAGCGGAGAGGAAGGCCCAGCCAGTAATGAAATATATTTTGGAACACTATATATATATATATATATATAAATTCTGTATACAAGGGAAACCCTGACCCTGTACACCCCAAATAATCATACTTAAATAGAATAAATGTTTGAAAAGAAAATTTGCCCTAAGCGGGATTTGAACCCACGTCCCCCTGTTACTAGTCAGTTGTGATGACCACTACACTATCAGGACAACCATGCTGGCAACACGGCAATCGCAGATGTGATTTACGTGATCGGAGACGTGGTCTCCCGGGAAACTTAATTTTCAAGGTGACAGGGTAGGGGAAGCCTATAACCCCATATGAAACCCAACTAAGGATCTATTAAAGATACACGACCGAAGTCAACTTAGCGGATGACAAAGGAGGATCCAATTATGGCAAATTTTCTTTTCAAACATTTATTCTATTTAAGTATGATTACTTGGGGTGTACAGGGTCAGGGTTTCTCTCGTATACAGAATTTATTTCATTGAAATTAGCCTGTATCCCTAATTGGATCCTCCTTTGTCATCCGCTAAGTTGACTTCGGTCGTGTATCTTTAATAGATCCTTAGTTGGGTTTCATATGGGGTTATAGGCTTCCCCTACCCTGTCACCTTGAAAATTAAGTTTCCCGGGAGACCACGTCTCCGATCACGTAAATCACATCTTCGATTGCCGTGTTGCCAGCATGGTTGTCCTGATAGTGTAGTGGTCATCACACCTGACTAGTAACAGGGGGACGTGGGTTCAAATCTCGCTCATGGCAAATTTTCTCTTCAAACATTTATTCTATTTATATATATATGTATCTGAGAGGTACTGTTGTTTACCTGGAATAAGGAAACAGAACAAGGGGGTTTCTATCACTTTAGCTATCTAAAGGTCATCGAATAAACAGCAATGTCAAATTAAGCTGAAGTCAATTTAGGCAAGTGCAGTACAGCAGTTTTACTAATGAGAACTCCTGGAAAGCTTACAAGAGCATTGAAATCGCTTGCTTTGTTCCCTTCCTCTGATCGCTTTTGAGCTGGTATTTATTCCAGGCCCTCTTTATAAGTGCTACGGGACGCACGTTACTTCGCCCGTCGGAAGATTGGAGATGAGCCGTGTAGAAGTTAGCTGGGAGTCTCTAGTACCCTTACCGACTTCTTTTTTGAAAATGACTGTTGAAATTTACCGCGCTTATTGGTGGAGAGGCATTATAAAGAAGAATACACTTAGATAGCTATTTAACTGTAGATATTGTTTCTCGTCAAAAACTCAGTAAACAGCATCCTCTAGTCAATCTCTCCAAACCTTGTATTTTTTTCTTTCACCTAACCTACAGCTTTTTCGCTTCAGTGTTGCAGTTGTAACAGCGCTTCGGAGATTCTGGATGGGAACAAACTGTAAAGCAGACAATGTTCCAAAAGTCACTTGCCCTTTGACATCTGACAGATGTTTCACAATGAAATAAATCATTGGACAACAAGCTTTCGAGTTAAAGAATTGTTCTTGCAGCCAGCCCTGTGGTGCGCAATCGCACCTCAGTCGTAAGTAAAAAAATCAAGTTTATCCTTGTCCTCAGTCCCCATTAACACACTTCTGCAGTTCTGTATTTTCATTAGAACTACACAACTCGTATGTTAATCTTAATGGCAGAACTCCTGTATGTCGTACTGTTTACTTACTTTAAGAATTGACTGTCAGTGACTGCATACGGCTACTGGTATAGCACAATTTTTATTGCATCGAAAAGAACTAGAGTTTGTATAATGTCACTAGAAGGTAGTGTTACAGAATATTTTTCTCACAAGTTAAACAGAAAACTACCGCATCCCACATATTTATGAGTAACCTGTTCCACAAGAGAAAGATGATCCAATAATATATTGTCTCATTTAAATCAACCATTAATTAAATGGTAACAAAAAATATGTAATATTATCAATAACAGTAATGATAATAATAGTAATTAAAATGATAATTTAAAGGGGCTAGGGATGACTCAAAAGCCTCATGGTTCCCCAATCCTCTGGGCTCCAGTGATTACTTATCCTTCTTTTGATTTCGCCTGTAAATTGTAAATAATTTTCTTACTTTGTTGCGTTTTAAATTTTTTGAGACAAAAGGCATTCCATGTCTTAAGATATTTCACCCTTCCATTATTCTGTTGAATAACTCAAGGTACCGA